GAAAACACATCAAATATAAGCATCAACACAGCAAATGCTAATGGCAGTAACATCGCAAACAAGCCAGCGAAGATGGTTTCAGTTCCTGCAACTGTTTCTTCCTCTTTAGCTATGGATAAGAACAATACAGATCAGGGTGCCATCAAAAGGATTACTGTGAAAAGGAATGTCGCTGCTGATACAGCGGTGGCAAGCTCCAGGACAGCTGCCTCGCCTCGCTCTCGATCCCCTGCAAGAACAAATCCCAAAGGCTGCAACGAAAATCAGCAGCAGCAGCCATCACTTAGCCGCAACCCATCGAGAAAAGCAGAGCATTCGCCTTATAGAAGAAATCCCTTGGGTGAGATCGACCCCAGCACGCGAAAGAAATCAGAGCTGTCGCCTTATAGAAGAAACCCCTTGAGTGAGATCGATCCCAACTCTCTGCAGTATCCACAATGTGCTGGCGGCATCAATAAGGTACCCATCTCAGAACTTCCGAGACTGTAATTAACCATAGCTAGGTTTCGTTTTTAACTCAAAAAAAAAAAAAATTGGTTCTGGCAGAAACCAAATGCAGAGGTGAACAACAAAGGTAGTAATAACAAAGGTAGTATTGTTGATGCAAAGGAGCAGCATAGGGTGGAAGAGGGTAAGACACAGCCAGCATTGACAAGAAGCAGGTCGGCCAGGCGGTCGAGAGATTTGGACATCAATCCTGAAACTCTGTTGAATCCTGTTCCTCCTACTTCATACACCAATCTGCTGCTTGAAGACATCCAGAATTTTCACCAGAAGAACACAGTGGCTGCATCTTCATTCTCACTTCCAGCGTGCGTGTCCAAGGCCTGCTCTATTCTGGAAGCAGTGGCGGATCTCAATTCCACCACAAGCTCCAACCTTTCAGTGGGGAGGACAATGGGAGAAGGAAAAGACCCTTTTGTTGATCTTATGGAGCCGAGTTTTCACAAGTATGTGACGGTGAAGAGGGTTGGAGATATGGAGGAGCAAGAATCGTCTGGAAGTAATAGCTTTGTGAGCAGCGGACAGCATCGGGGGTTTTCTTCATCTTCTTGGGAACCCAACTCGGTAGAGTCAACTGATCGGAGGAGCAGAGAGGAGGATGGCTCAACTTCAAGGGAAAGAAATGGTATTGGGCGGGGCAGGGTAACTCCGATGGTAGCAGCCGCTACTTCCACATAGCAGGCGGTTCAGTTTGGTCTTGGTTGCATACTCGCAACCATTTTCCTTCTGTTCATTTGTTGAGTTGTCAAATTAGTGCACTCTTTTTTCTGAAATTCAATGGTTCTAAGGGTGAGTGCGTTACATCTCGTGAACACTAGTATTGAATGCTTCTTGCACCTGTGGAATCAATTTACATTTTCATCCAATCTATAAACTGAATCCACAAAATGTATATGCTTATCCCCTTTTATTCAACAGAAAATTTAGAAAATACATACTTTTAATGGTGTTGGTTTAGTCGTAATCTCTTTCATTTATAGGACAGATTCTGGATTTAAGTTATACAACAAAAATATATGGAGAATTTTAGACTCAATATCGAAACTTTTCAGTGAGAATGAAAAGATTTAAGAAAAAAGAGGATTATTCATTTGTTGCAAAGTTTAAAGTAAGATGTACTGAAAAAACTTATATATATCTAGAGATCATCTATGCAGCTCTTGTATGCTTGTTTGGAATGTGTATAACTTCTACATCTTATACATGCCAAGAAAAGACATGGCTATGGACCCAATCCACAATACTCCATCTTTCTCCTGCACTTCACTTAAGGACCTAATTCTGTTTCCAATCATATCTTCTAACGTTTCCAACACATCACCATCCTCACTCAACCTCACTGCCCAGCCACTTCCTGTATACTTGGAGAAAACAGCATAAGCTTTCATAATATCAATAGGCAACTTAAGCAAAGCATTGCCAATCCAAGGATTTGAAATAATCCAACCTATAATCATCCGCCTTCTCGTATGCATTGCCACCCAATATCCTCCTCTAGGACTCCGTTTGATATTGTCTGGAAATCCAGGTAGTTGCGCAAAAACCTCTACAGTTCCAGCCTTTGATGTTTTCAGCCAATACCTTAAGATTCTGCAATAGGTAGTCTCAGCAAGTATGAGGTAGCTACCATCTTCACTTAGTGCCACTCCATTTGGGAACGAGAGGTTCTCCAAAAGAACGATTACTTGTTGGCTTTGAGGATCATACTTCATTAGCCTACCTGTTCTATCCCCACTCAGTATTAGCGAGATGTAATTCCTGGGGAAAAAGTAAGATGTTAGCAAAATTATTTTCGTGAGGGTGAAAAATAACAAATTTGCTTTTATCTTGTCACTTGGTTTGCCAAATTCATGGACAGACAGACAGACTCAATTGCTTAAAAAAACAAAAGGACACTTGATCAAGTTACCGATCGATTTTACGTTCCCTGCCTAGTCCCTATCCAAACATTAATATAGTGGTGACAATTAGCCAAATATTGTGTGGCCACAATTTGTAGGTGAGAGCCACACACATATGAGAAAGGCCCCATCTTTCCAAAGAGATTGAAATAAGAATATTATGCCAATTTCAATAATCTATCACACCCTTACAATCAAAAATGGATTCACATTACATCCTTTTGAAAAAAAAATGAAACCCCATCAACCAGCATAAAAAAACAACTGTTTATAACACGGATGAAGAACTAAATCAATTAACCATGTGTCATTTAAAAAAAAAAAAACTGTTATGCAATTTGAATTTTGTGAGTAAACAAGGTGACTCTCAGATAAAAGGACGCTCATAAATGCAGGATAAATAAACCCACAACAATTTGGTGTCCTGAATGGTAAAATGAAAATGGTAAGCACAGGGCAATCTTTAGAGGGATGGGATCTTTGGCAAAGATACCTCCTTTGATGTAGAGAACTGCTGGCAGTGAAATAAATAGTGCCATCACTATGATTGATGTCCAAGCCATTAGTGAATCCAACGGTGACGCCCTGCGCATGTGTTGCTATAGGAGTGGACACCCCACCTTCTGGTCCAACTTTGTGAAGACCTAAGTACGCATCAGCGATGTACAGCTCTCCCGTTCTCTCATTGAAACACATCCCTAATGGTCGCCCGCAAATGTGCTCCGTCTGATGATGATCGTGCGCTCCTTCACACCCTTCCCTGCTCACAAAATCACTTTCAAGTCTCAATCTCCATCATTCATTATTTAATTGATTTATGCATCTAATTCACTGTAATGCAAAATACAGAAACTATCATATGAGGTTATGGTTTAATCAGCCCCACATGTCATTGTATAGTTAATAGTTAGTACTTATTATTTGACAACTGAAATCAGCTCAATATCATAATTACTTGTCAAAAAAAAAAAAAAAACTGCAAAAGCCATTAGATGGTGGCAGACAGACTGCACAACATATTTTTGAATTCTAAGCTAAAACATTGAAAAGG